AAGTGTTCTACCTGGTTGTGCAGCTCATGAGCTGTGCTCTTAGTAGATCCCATCATCTGCAACCAGGATCAAGAGCTCCTCCCTTCCCAGGTATGCTGCAGAAGCCCAATCAGCCTTGTCTTCCATTCACCTGTGAATGCTTTCTTGGATACTCATATGAAGGTTATGGACATTCAGAACTGTCCTAAGAAGATTTAAAAAGCAGATCTTATTAACTCTGGTTGGGCTAGAACAGAGTCTCCAGTGAGGTGTGGTTTTGTTTGTCCATATTTTCGAGGAGAGAGAGAGAGAGAGAGAGAGAGAGAGAGAGAGAGAGAGAATCGATCCTGTTGTGGAACTCTGGTGCTGACAAACTCCAATAGTCTTTGAGATTTCTAAGAGAAACTGTAGAGTTATCATTAAGCTAAAAAAGAAGCACCCTTGAGGAGTCTTCCTCATTTACTTCACTTCTGATGTGATAAAACACTGGTCAAAAGTAACATGGGGAGGAAAGGGTTTCTTTCAGCTTCCAGGCTATCGCTCATTTTATCTTTTTTCCATTTTTCTATTGAGGAAAACAAGGCATAAACGCAAGGCTTATCCTGGAGGTGGGAATTAGAGCAGAGTCCACCGAAGAATGCTGCGTACAGGCTTGTTCAGTTTGCCTTCATATGTTTTTGGTTGTGAGCCTAGACTTTAACAGCTGAGCCATTTCTCCAGCCCCAGTTTGCTTTCTTACACAACCCAGGACTACGTGCCTAGGGGTGGCCCTGCCCACAATGGGCTAGGCCCCTTCTGCATCAATAGCTAACCAAGAAAATGCCTCACAGACATGACCACAGACCAGTCTGTTGGAGGCAATTCTTAATTGAAGTTTCCTCTTCCCAGGTGACCGTAGGTTGTGTGAAGTTGACAAAAACTAACCATCACAGTAGTATTTTGTTTTGTCCTTAAGTTACAGTTCCCTGCTGATTCCCCTCATGGTCTGCTCATCTAAGAACACATTTCATTTCCTTACCACCCGAAAAGTAAGCAAGCAGTTGGGGTATCATCTATGAAATCTGGGTTTCAATTCCAGCTCTACTTGCAATCCTGAAAGGCTTCATTTTTATTTCATTTACAATTCTAGAGTAATGGTATCTGTCAAATAAACTTCTCAAGAAGTTCAAATGAAAAGTGGTAAGAAAAGCATACCATATATTGTGATGTGAAGGTGAAATGACCCTTATAGGCTTATATGTGTGGACACATGTTTCTAGCTGGGGGCAGAGCTTCAGGTGGTGCCTAGCTAGAGGAAGTGGGAAATTGTGGAGGACGTTGTTCGAATCTTAGATGGTCTTTTATTAAAAAACTTGGAGCCAGATATCAGGGTGAGAGCTGAAAGATCAGAGAAGCAGAGCAGCCAGCCACTAGTTCTTACCTCTACGGAATCCCCAGCCCCAAGAGAGTGAGTTCAAGTTTCCTCACACCTTATATACCTTTCTCTGCCCAGACATCACTTCCTGGAATTAAAGGCATGTGTGCTTCCCAAGCAAAAGCATGAGATCTCAAGTGCTGGGATTAAAGGTGTGTGCCACCACTGTCTAGCCTCTATGTCTAATCTAGTGGCTGGCTCTGTCCTCTGATCCTCATGCAAGTTTATTAGGGTACACAATATATCACCACAGGAGGACTTTGAGGTTTCTTAGCATAATCCCACTTCCTGATTAGGGCATATTCTCCTGCCACATGCCTCGTCTGACAAAATAGTCTAAACCTTTAAACTAGAAAACAAAATGAATACTTTCTCTCTTAAGTTGACTCTTGTCAGGGATTTATGGTCATAGAAACCAAAAAAGTAATGGATACATTATGTTATACATGCTATTAAAGATTGTCAAAGCTGGGCAGCGGTGGTATACGCCTTTAGTCCCAGCACTTGGGAGACAGAGACAGGCGGATCTCTGTGAGTTCAAGGCCAGCCTGGTCTACAGTTCGAGATCCAGGACAGGCACCAAAACTACACAGAGAAACCCTGTCTCGAAGCCCTCCCAAAAAAACAAAAATAAAAATAAAAAATAGAGATTGACAAGTTCCAAATCTATATTATAATTCAATGTATTTCATCCATTCCTGCCCCTTTGTCTATATAATCAGTTGAATAGTGACTCCTCCCCCCAAAAAAGATATGTGTATCTGTATTTGTAAGTTCTCCAAGTTTCTTCAGACTTAGGCTGGGTCCTCAATACAATGAGAAATACATTTACAGAGAAATAAGGAGATTTGAGCCACAGCACCATGGGAAGAACGGTGGTCACATGAACACAGGGACAAAGACTGTGGGTAGGTTGGTACAAGCTAAGAAACATCCGGTGCCACCAAAGCTGGAAGGAACATAAACAATTCTCCCCTAAGTTGTAGAGAGTGGCCCTGGTGACACATTGTTCTTGGACTGCTGGCCTCCAGAAATGTGACAGAATAAAATCTGTTGCTTTGAGCCACTGCCATGGCTAAAAACAATGATTAGGGTCCAAATCGGAGCCATCAGCAAATTAAAGCAGCTCAACTTTCAAGACACGTCTAGCCTACACACCTTCCCCCATCAGGCTAAGCCACCACTGTCCCTCTGCGGATCATCTTTTCACTTCTCCATGTGCTGTAGGCACATGGTGATCAGGGTGTGATTTAAAACTGAAATAATGTATGTCCTTTTTTAAAATGTAAAACATTTTATGTACAACTGCAGGAGTAGCTAGAGTTTTCCAGTCTTGCCTGGCCCACAGTCAGGACAAATCTCTGTCACCCGCCAGTCCCACAGCCGCTCAGACCCAACCAAGTAAACACAGAGACTTATATTGCTTACAAACTGTATGGCCGTGGCAGGCTTCTTGCTAACTGTTCTTATATCTTAAATTAACCCATTTCTATTCATCTATACCTTGCCATGTGGCTTGTAGCTTACCGGCATCTTCACATGTTGCTTGTCATGGCGGCAGCTGGCAGTGTCTCTCCGACTCTGCCTTCCACTTCCCAGAATTATTCTCTTCCTTGTCCCGCCTATACTTCCTTCTGCCTGGCTACTGGCCAATCAGTGTTTTATTTATTAACCAATCAGAGCAACACATCTGACATACAGAACATCCCACAGCATGCAGGAGAAATAATACACAGATAGCTTGAACATAAAAACAGGTTATAATTCAAAAGTCCAGGGTTATTTTAAACAGTAAAATATTTTCTCTTAACCAGTGCTCTTAACTACTGAGCCATCTCTCTAGCCACCAAAATAAATTTAAAAATGTTTTAAAAATAATGTAAAAGACTCCCTTTTGTTTCACCCATTTGCTTTCTAGCCCCTTATTTCCTTTTTTCCCCTTTTTTCTTGGTTTGTTTTGCTTTATTATTATTATTTTTTTTGAACATAAAAACAGATTATAATTCAAAAGTCCAAGGTTATTTGAAACTGGAAAATATTTTCTCTATAGAAAATAGTAAAAATGATAACATTTCCCAATATGCCCTTTTAAGCCAAATAATAGTTGAATTATACATACACATATTGATTAAATTCTGGGATACAGAAGAGACCTATCTTCATCTGTTAAGAAATAATACAAGCGTCTGTGTGTTTATTTGGGTCTGAGTGGCTGCAGGCCTGGGCGGGACTGTAGATAACTCCAGCTACACTGTCCTGTTTCTTACTGGTCTCTGACTTCCTCTGTGACCCTGCCCTAACTCCCTGCATGTTCTTCCTTCTGTCGAGATAACCACAGCCTGCACTGGGATAAGTTTCTGCTCAAATCCCATTTCTTACACCAAGCCTTGCATTTTCATCGCACACCCCTAAGTGGTGAGCCTAAAGTATAGTCCATGTCACATTACTCTTGCCTTGTCTTGTTGTTTTTCTAGCTCACGGACGTTTGTCCTATTTAAAGGAAAGCCGTGCACGAAGACCTTGCCTGTCTTGCTTGTTGCAGCATACCAAGGCTCAGCACACTGCAGCCATTAATTAATATTTGCTAAATGAATGAAGAAATCAACATACCTTATAACTACTAAGGGTGTGAGCAAAGGGATGGAGATGGTATCTGCTTTCAGCCCCGCCCCAAACAAAGCTATTTAAAAGCGTAACCCAGCCAGCCACCTACACACATTCTGAGTGGATAAGGTAACTAAGGGAACTGCAGTCATACCTACCGTCAGGGAACTGCTAAATACTATTAGTTTTCAGCGAAGAACTGTAGAATGTTTAAAGCTGCCAAGTTCAAGAGATGCATCAATTTCAAATCTATGAATAAATCCCTGAATGAAAATTTCCAGCTAAAACAAAAGCTGTAATTCTTCATTTTGTTCAACCCCAGGCAGCTTTAAAGGTCCTTTCATTCATCTTGTTTTATTAGACTTTGTTACCTGCCTGAGTTAATGCTGGACAATATTATTCCCATTTTACAGATGGAAATAAGGGGACTAGGTAGTTCGTACAAGGGGACGTTGCAGAGGAAGGGGTTTTTAGATCCAAATTAAGATTTCTGATTGTGAAATTCTTTCTTTCTTTTCCCTTTTACATTTCATTCATTGGTTCCTTTAATATACGTCGTTGGTTATTGTACACTAATTGTTTCAGGTGCTTATAAAATAAGGCAGTTGCTCCAGAACTCTAGGGGTTCCTTCCTTCCTTCCTTCCTCCCTCCCTCCCTCCCACCCACCTTCCCTCCTTCCCTCCTTCCTTCCTTCCTTCCCTTTTTTTCTTTTTTTATTTAAATAAAATACCGCGCATTACTTAAGAAGAACATCGGCCAGTAACTTGCCGCCCTTCCAGTGCCCAGTGCCTCTCTCGGGGGAGGCCACCTCTGCTACGTGGAAAGCTTTGATCCCGGCCTGGCCGGGAGGCGGGACGGAGCGCCGTGGGCGGCGGTGCACCGGGGCCCCGCTCTGGGTGGGTGTGGGGCGGCGCGGAGGGGGCGGGCCGAGGGGGCGGGCCGAGGGGGCGGGCCGAGGGGGCGGGCCGAGGGGCGTGGCGGGGCGTGGCGGCGACGTGGCAGCGGGGCGGCGCGGAGGCCATCTTGGCGCGGGACGCGCGCTCCTCCGGGCTTCCTCGTCCTCGCCGAGCCGGATCCCTGCGCCGGGCACTCACATCCCGACCCCGACCCGACCCCGGCGTGTGCAGCTTCCGCCGAGGCGCTCGCTCGGACCCAGGTGAGCGCCGGCCTGGCGGTGACTCGCACGGCGGCAACGGGACTGGGGCGAGCCCCGGGTGGGCGGGCGTTGGAGTGTGGGGGCTCCGGGCGGCGGGGACGCTCGTCGGGAGAGCCGGGTCCATCCCCGCATCGCTCCGGCCCCGACCCCGGCTCCCCGGGCCTGCACCTTCCCCCGCGTGCACGGGTGTCCAGGCCCGCGGACCTTCGCCCGGCCCAGCCCGGCCTGCAGACGTGGCACAGGCTGCCCGGACTGCCCAGGCCACCCGCCCCGGTGGGACGCCGTGCCTCCTCCTGGGATGCCCGCGAGTAGTGGCCAGCGCCGCCCTGCAGGGCTCTTCCACCCGGACCCACGTCAGCCTGATTTGCAGGCTTGCTTATTTCCTAAACGGCAAGGTCTCACGTCCGAGAGTTTTTGTCACAGCAGTTGATTTGAGAGGTAGCTTTGAATCGTCCGCGATCCCGACGCTCTGGGGCACTCCGGTGCTGTCTGAGCGCTGTTGGAATCACTGAGTGTGCAGGGAAGTTTATTTTGGGCTCTGCACAGAGAATGGCAGACCGCTGACCTCCGTCTTGTGGTATTCGAGGCAAACGTAGGGCATCAATAAGATCAACAGGAATAGCTTCTGATGCTCTGAAATTTATCACAAGTCCACTATCCCGTTTTTCTTAAAAGTAGCCATCTACTGCAGACCTGAGTAGGTGCAAACCGATTCGAGGAGCGGTTTGATCATCGCCTGAGGACTAATCTTGTAAACTGTTTCCATCTCTTTTTCCTGTAACGTTGATGCATTCGGACTACTTTTGTTCCTCAAAAGCTCTGTCAACAGATGCTTCTCTGTTGTTTATCCTACTAGGCTGCTGCTGCTTTTTCCTTTTTCCTTTTTTTTTTTTTTTGAGGGTATGTTTATGTTTGCGAAGTATATTTCCGTGTTGTGTTTAAGCCATTCCTCAAACAGTAAAGCTTTTAAGAACTGAAAGAAATTGATTACGTATCTCAGGTGAGTTCTTTTGCCCATGCATTTGCTGAGAGATGGGGTTATCTTTAAATAGGACCTAGCCATGGCAAGGATTGGGTAGCTTCTGCCTCAAGAATATGAGTGACAAATATGACTTTCTCCCAGGTCATCTGTCTTTGTCCAGGTAGGGAATAGGCCTATATTTAGCCTCTGGAATGCCTTGTCTTTCCTCCCTTCACAGTCAGGCTTTGGTGGGGTACATACCTGTCTTTTCCTACTTCTCCGTTTTATCTTAGCCATCCCCTAGTCTCCCCTCTTTGGAAACAGCTCTCAGATCATCTGTAATTTAGCGAACCCATGGAACCATTCACAGCATCCCTTCTGGCTTCTCTGCAGTATTTAGCGCCATCATCCATTCCTACCTTGAAATGCTGGCGGCTTCTGAGTGCCAGCGTGTCCTCATTTCTCCCTGCTATTCTGCTGGTCTTATTTTCTGCAGGTTAGTTGGCCACATGACTGAAAGAAAGTTTGGCGTTAAGTAGTAGTTAGTCCCTTTGCCTTGGTGTGCTCTTCTGAGGAGAGAGAGCGCAGAGCAGGGTATCAGAAACTGTTGGTCCATTGATGACACTTGAGGGTTGTGGTGTGTGTGGACTCCAGACCCAGCTGGTGTCCCTTTTCAGGTGTTCCCAGGAATTTGCTCCTGCTGAGTTAGAGGGGAAGCACTTTATGATTTCCCCCAAAAGACACCATCTTGGCCTCTTACAGAGCTCTCGGTCCTACCTGTTGGCACCATTATCTGTCTGACTAAGTGTGTAACTCATGCCAACCCCTCTTGTTCTTTATGGGCACTCCTTGAGTCTTACCCCCTAAATGTTTCTCACGTCTGTCTCCTTTCTCACCTCCATCATCGCCTTAGTTTAGGCTACAGAGTCTCAGCCTGGCACTATGGATGTTTGGGGACATAAGATTCTTGTGGATTGTGAGATGTGCATTATGGGGATTTGAGCCACTACCTGATACATACCAGCAGTGCCCTGTGACAACCAGAAGTTGTCATGGAAACCCTAGGGGATATGAGGTTATGGTTATCCTTAGTGTAGGGTATTGGCGGACCTTGTTTGAACTACTTCTGTACCCGAGTGCTGTCTGTGCCCTGTGGTCCAGTGTACATATTTCAGCCAAAGGAGGAATATTTTATTTTTCCCCTCATGGTATTAGTGGCTAAATTCAGGGCCCTTGCATTTGCTAGGCAAGTGTTTCACCACTGAGTTAGGACCCCAGCCCAAAGGAGTCTTCAAAACACAAATAGGGATTGTCAGTAACTGGGGTCAGCCCACGTCTTCAGTGAGTAGTGGGTGGACTGACAGCATCTGTGAGGTGGAAATGCCGTTTATCAAGAATGGAAGTGGACCAACCTTGATGAATTTCAGACATTTTTCTGTGTGTGTGTTAGGGGGGCGGGAAGCCAAATATGAAGAAGCTATTCGGGGTATGATTTTATTTATTCCACCTTTGTGAAGTGAGAAAGTGAGAGACCCAGAGAGTGTTTTGTTGCCGGTTTTATGCTTGGAGGATGACAGGAGTACAGTGAGGGAGTTTGGGGTGATGGTGTGCTTGTGGGTCCTAACTGTGCTGACGGTGGGTGTCTCTGCACGTGGTTCAGCTTCACAGAACTGTCCACACCTCCTATACTCAGGAATAACTAAAAACAGCTGAGGTCCGGGGAAGCTCTCCAGAGCCGTTAGTAGTGCCGTTCCATAGTCGGCATTTCTGCCTTCGGTATTTGCGAATTTCTGTAAGCGACTGTGACTGAGATCAGCTTGCATAGCGAACTCTACTGTGTTTGCGTCTTATGGATTTAAAATCTCAGAAGAGTTAGAATAAAAAGACAGATGCTTCCTCCAGCTCCAGTGCCTTTCTGTTCTTAAAAGGGCCAGCTCCTTACCTCTGTCAGGAAGGCTGTACATCTGGGCCCCCGGCTGCCCCTCGGTCCTCTTCTGTTACTTGGGTTTTCATGACCGTGTCTTATTCCCTCTGCCGTCCCTAGTGTTGATACCTGCAGTGTGCCCACTTTTCTTCTGAATGCCTCCCCTTTCCCGATTTAAGTTCTTTCTTTCCTTGACTTATGGAAATTGGGTTTACCTTTCAGAACTGAGCTCATCTGCGAGTTGGGCACCTTCCCCAGACCTTTCGGTCAGAATCCTTTCTTCTGCCCAGCGTGACTGTGTTCTCAGCCTCAGCATTAGAATCCAGCCTTGCTGTGTGTTGCTGTTACCATGTTGAACTGTACCAGTATCCTTGGGTATTGGTACTGTTATTTGGTCGTGTCCTGTTATTGCTGTTACGTGTTGAACTGTACCAGCATCCTTGGGTATTGGTACTGTTCCTTGGTCGTGTCCTGTACAAGTCTCTATGTTGACCGGATTTTGCTTAGCTCAATTCAGTGTTTGGCAAACAATTTGCCTTCGCTGAACATTTGTAAAATGAGTCAAAACATCAAGAGCCAATTTGCATGTTTAGAGCTGGTTTTGTACTGTCTGAGTTTCCTTTCCTGTTGCTGTATAAAACACTCCAACAAACAACAGAAGCCACTTCAGAGAGAGAAGGGCTTATCCGTTTCATAGTTCAAGGGCATAGCCCACCATGGCGGAGACTTCCAGGTGGGGCTTGAAGGTCACGTGGCACCCAGAATGAGGAAGCAGAGATTGATGAACGGATGCCCGCTGCTGCTTGGTAGCGGTGGTCACACCAGTTTGAAAGTTTCTGTAACTACAGTAACCAGCGCTCCAGATTTGTTTTCCTGCTGTGCCCCCTCCCACCCCTTCAGGCGCTTGACAGTTCCTGGTCAGAAGGATAGTTATGATCATCCTTTAGTCCACAGTTTCTCACTCACCAGTCTTTGATTATTCTTGGCAGTGGATGCTTTTGACCCCCACCTGTCCCCCTGTAACTGTCCCTACTGTAAGTGGACAGTGAACTGTTTTCCCAACCTAGAGACCTCCCTTCCATGAGTTTTTCTTAGATGCAATCTGTTCTGTTCTAGATGTTGCCCCCCACCCCCCGAGCCTTACTCCAGCCGGACCCCAAGCAGTTCTAACAGGGACCTTATCCATTGACTTCCCATCAGCCAATGGCTCATTCAGCCTTGGGTGAGTTTTTTAGATTTTTCCCGTTGGAGACGCCTCCTTTCTGACCCTCAGCCAGATGGACCCCTCAGAAACTCCAGCTCAGTGGAGAGCTTTCCCTCAGATCATATTGAAGAGATGTCCCAGTCCTCTTGAAGGTACTCCATTGTTAAGTAGGACCCCCTCAAGGAAAGGGGTGCTTATTGTTTGGGAAGATTTCATTTCATCTCTCCCTATGACCATGGGCTAACACTCTTCTAAACTTCCTAGAGCAGTGGCTCTCAACTGGGGGTCAGACGACCCTCCCTCTTCCAGAGGTCTAGACCTAAGACCATCGGAAATATCGGATATGTGGGTACCAGCCACCCCCATGGTACACAGGATGTGGGCAAAACATTAATAAACATAAAATTAGAATAAAATGATCTGCCCTGGGATTAAACACTTCTCCGAAGCCTAGATGTCTTGTAATTTCCTGCAGCACGGCCTGGCTGCACTGCCCTTTGACAGTGGTCGCTCCTGGATAAAGGACAACACACTGCACTACCACATTCAAAGACTTAGCTCCGGGTTGTGGTCCAAAGGTTCCCTCAGTCCAGCCCTTTATCTTCTTGGCCTCTGCCCTGCTCCCTGCTTACCCTGCTCTGCCTCTCAGGTTCTCTTGCGTAGACACCATCTGTGTGTGTGTGTCACCAAACGGAAGGTGAGCAAGAAGGAAAGACAGGCCAGGGGATGAGACCCTTCCTTATTCAGGGGAAAAAACCTGCAGAGGGGTCTCTGCAAGAATCACAGACCACCATCAGCTTCCTCGATGGGGTAGTTAGAAGGCAGGAGGCAGGGAGTTGAAAGACTTCTGACTAGAGAGTGGTGAGCAGTGACGGAAAGAATGTCAGAGATCAATAAATGTCTTTCCTGGGGTCCACAGGGTAGAATAATCAGTACTCTATGGAACAAGTTAATTTACTTCTAGAAATCAAATTCCTGTAGTTACTGGAATTGTTACCAATCAACCAAAATGAAGTTTACAAAATGGCATGATCGTGGTGATGATAAACTCCCATTTTCCTTTTTTGCAGTCTGGGAGCCCAACCAGGGAATGGTCCCCCCTACAGTGGGCAGATCTTCCCACTGCAGTAAACACAATCAAGATAATGCCCACAGCTGTGCCCTGGGGCTGTTCCTTTCAGGTGATTTCAGTCTGTCAAGTTGACTATAGTTAACACTGTCATACACTTAAGATGAATTCTGAGACTTGTAATTTTTTAATAGAATCATATCCACCCCCACCCACGCACACCTCCTCCAAATAGTGCTGCCTGTGTGTGGGGTGGGGTGGGTGTGGGGCAGTCTGAAGAAAACAGTCTCCCCACCTCCCCCAACAGCCATCAACTGTCTCAGGCCCTCTGTGAGGGCTGGGCTTGGTGAGCCACTCCTCGATCCTTGCAGGAAACTGACTGGCTTGATTTTGTGCAGGTCTTGTGGCCCCATGATGTCCAGACGACACTGTCTCATAACAGCTCCAGCTCTGGCTCTTACAGTCTTCCACCCCCTGTTCCATGATGTCCCCTGCGCCATGGTGGGAGGGGTGTTACGTAGCTGGTCCTTGTAAGGCTGAGCGCTCCACAGTCACTTACTTGCTAGGCTTCCAGTACGTCCGAGTCTCTCCATTAACCGCCATCCAGTGCAAAAAGTCCTTCTCTGATGAGGGCTGAGAGCTGCACAGATTGTGGGCGTGAAGCTGAGTGCTGAGAAGGCACTTTGATTTGTGAGGATGTTTTCTTGTATTTGGTGTGCGTCATCATCTGTTCGGACCGTACTTTCTTGTGGCTTCGCCTTTTACAGGCAACTTCTAACACCTGAGCCACACCATTTCACTTTACAAAGCTGCTGTGGACCAGGCTGGAGACTAGCCTGTTTATAGAGCTGAATGCATCTTGATTTTTTTTTTTTAAATGTTAATAGGTATAGCCTACATGGAATGTATTGGGGAGAGTGCATTTGTAAAGTCAAGCAAATTTAACTTTTAAAAAGAAATGTTAACAGAGTAGCCCACATGGAATGTTTTGTGAGGGAAGAAGAGGGTTCCAAAGATAAATCAGATGTTTGTATTTTAAGCATCTTGACTGAAACCTGCATGTGACTCTTCATGGGATTCAAGTAGCCAAATCGACTTGGCACTCTACTATTTGAAATATATAGCTTCGTTAATGAAATGGTTAACGCAAAATTATTTCCAAGTTGTAAAATATGTATAGGGAAATGTCACAGGATATTTGTCTATTAAGTAATTTCACAGACTTTTTAAATTTATTTAAACTTTGTTATAAAAATTGTTGCAAATAAGAAAAATTACACACAGAAATGAACCAGACCCAAAGACTACAGACTCTTTTTTCAGGTACTAAATTTTTTTTTTTTTAATATTTTGTGTGTGTGTGTGTGTGTGTGTGTGTGTGTGTGTGTGTGTGTGAGACGCGTGTTGGTGCCTTTGGAGGCTAGAGGAGGGTGTCAGATACCCCAAAGCTGCAGTGCAGGTAGTTGTGAGCTGTCTGCTTGGGCCCTGGGATCTGAACTCGGGTCCTCTGAGGAGCACAAGTGCTGTCACCGGGTGGGTCGTCGCAGCTCTCTCAGGAGTTTTGCTAAGCCCTTCCTCTAGACGTGGTGGTGTTACAAGTCATAAAGGCAGACTTGCCTCTTTGTGATCTTTCTTAATCATTCTCTAACTGTGCGAGCTGCTGCCCCTGAGTAAAGCTTACCACGTTTTTGTATCTCTGCAGTGCACCATAACTGAGGGACAATGATGGAAGAAAGCGGAATAGAGACAACTCCACCTGGAACCCCTCCCCTGAACCCCGCAGGCCTGGCTGCCGCCGCAGCCGCCATGCCCTCCACTGAGGTTCACTTAGGTGGGTGTTGGGCCTGACCTCTGGCAGGGTGGAGGCTGAGGAAGACACTGGTCTCCCTGAATCAGTTAAGAATGTGTTTGTTAATGCTTCTCTCATCTTGTTGGGGTGCGAAGACATAGCCCTCTTACGTTTAAACCACGACAGAGAAACAGCCTTGCTTGTCACAGGTCAGCAGGCGTGTGTTTGGCCGGCAGCAGGTTCGCTCGCCCTGTTCACACTCACTACAAACCCTCCTAGCCGGCCTTCAGAGCATTGTCCTTGATGTTCTGTGACTGTGCAGGGATTAATCTTTCTGAGGTTTTAGTGTTCCAATACGGGATGAAAGTGACCTTCTTATCTGAGTCACAAACTAATGGGAAGGAAGGTCTGCTCCGGACAGTGCCGCCCTGGAGTTGTGTGGCCTCCCCAGTGGAATCACAGCCTGTACTCAGGAACAAGTGAAAATTACACCTTTAAAATTAATTGTTATGATTTGCCTTACCACATTAGGACCTTCCCAAGCAGGGGAGTGTGTGTTTATCCTCTCTGCTTTTTTTTGTTCTAGCTGCAACCAGTTCCTTCTCATCTCCCGGTGTGTCCGGGATGGAGTCCTTGCCGCCACATGCGTACTCCACGCCTCAGCCATCCCTGCCCCCTGTGCAGCCGTCGGCACCGCCTCCTTTTGTGCCACTGTCTCCAGCTCCTTCGGTTCCCCTGAGTGGCACTTCGGTGCCACCCTCCATGTCTCCGTCACCTGCCGCGGCCTTCAGCAGCCCCCCCATAGCCCCCTTCCCCCCTGCGACCTCCGCCTCCGGCGCTCTCTTATCCACACCGCCTTCGGGTCCTCCTATCTCAGGATTTGCCGTTGGTGCAGCCTACGACATCACGAGGGGCCATGCCGGGAGAGCGCCCCAGACGCCTTTGATGCCATCCTTCTCTGCACCTCCAGTCACAGGTGACCTTCTCCACTGTCCCCAGCACTCAGCCGCGTTTGACGGCATTGATTGTGCTGCACTGTGATCTGTGCACTAGCCGGTGATTTGAGGTGGACAGTATAGTACTTGTATGTATAGACGTGGCCATCTGCTGCTCATGGGCCTTTGCTTTCTCCACATGAAGGATCTAGTCTTCACTCTGATTTCCAGAGCTTCCCACGCTCATCTTTTTGCCACTTAAATTATTAACAGTAAAACTAATATAACTTACTGTATAGTTTTTGTGTGGTATAAAAACTGATGTACAAATGACATTTGAGGTGTGAGAGAGAATTCCCATATTCCATGCTAATGTTTGTTACTTACTGATAAGCTGCAGGTTGCAATCCAAGAGTACGTTATAGTTTGCTTTTTTATCAGAAGTAACTTCCCTAGGGGATAGATTCTATCTAGCCGGTCCCATATGTCCGGAGTGGGTGATACTGGGCCATTTCTTTTCTTAGGCCAACTACATCGTCCCTGGTCCCCTTTTTTAGTGTGGTTGTTAGAAACAAGTTATCAAAACATAATCTTTGCTGTCTTCTGTTGTTCATCATTTGAGGGTAAAGGAGCACTTTAGCTTTGATTATTTATTATCCAAATTGACCTATCTTTACAATAAAACTTATTATGGAACATAGGTATTACATGCTTATCTGTGTTCACATGTGTTTTTAAAAGAGATTTATTTATTTTATGTGTGTGCATGTTCGTGTGTGTGTGTGTGCCTGAGTGTGTGTATGGGTACCACATGTATGCAGACACCTTAGGAGGCTTAAAAAGGTGTTTTATCTGTGCAACTGGAGTTACAGATGGCTGTGAAGCCGCCTCATGTGGGAACTGAACCTGGGTCCTCTGCAGGAACAGCCAGTGCTGTTAGCAGTTGAACTCGCTCTCCAGCCCCAATGGGTGTTTTCTTTTGGAAGTATATGGAGTATGTGTAGTGATTTTTTATTTTATTTTATTTTATTTAACGATGGGTTTGAGTGCGCAATTACTTCTATGGATAAAGGAGATTAGAAGTCCAACTATCATCCAAATGCTGAGTAGGACAAACAGCAACACACACACACACACACACACACACACACACACACACACACTCCTGTGTGTGTGAGTGTGCTTGTATTTGTTGTTCAGGACACTTGGTATAAACCTATGTAAAGGGGAAAATACCTTTTTTAAGTTTATTTCTATAAAGGTTTGAGTTAATAACTTCATCTTTAGGTCCTTAAGTAGTTCTGTGATTGAATTTGTTTTGAGCTTCTCATATCATAATACATCCTTTTATAGGAAAACATTGGTGGAATAAATTACCCAACTAAATTTTTGCCATTGACTAGGTATTATGCCAGCCCCCATCACTCAGCAAGCCAGTATGACATCTCTGGTACAGGGACCTGGAACCACATCAGCCATTACTTTCCCAGAGGAACAGGAAGATCCGAGAATTGTTAGAGGCCAGGATGATGCACCTGCTGGTGGGATCTGGGGTTTTATCAAGGTAAGGGGGTTTGCTTTTCAAATGACTGTCCTAATTCTAAAACTGACAAGTATCCATTAGAGGAACACAGTGTAGTGTAGGGAACACAGAGTTCTGAGAACACAGTATAGGGTAAGGGAACACAGGATTTCTGTGGTTGGTGATGCCTTTTGTCTATGCATGTCTATACACATGTACTTATTCTCTTAAGAATCCAGTTGGATTAGTGACGTGAGCATTGTGGTTTTTTTGTCTTTTCTAGAAGACTCCATTAGTGTCCTCCCAGCTGGAAAACTGTCTTTGCCTCTTGTGTATTTGGGGTCTGCATGTGTTTGTATGGATGTATGTATGTGTACAGGTGTGTGTGTGTGTGTGTGTGTGTGTGTGTGTGTGTGTGTGTGTGTGTGGTGTGTGTGTGTGTGTGTGTTCTGTCATTGAATTTGGAATTCACCAATTCAGCTAGGATGGCTTGCCAGTGAGCTCCGAGGATCCTCTCATTTATGCCCCGTCCCAATGCTGGGGTGTGAAGACCGTGCTGTAGCGCTCCGCTTTTCACATGGGTGCTGGGATCTGAACTCAGGTCCTTGTGCTTATATGGCATTTACTGATTGAAGCATCTCTCCAGCTCTGAGTATTCTTTCTTTAGAATGTATTTCTTAATTAACTTCTTGTCATCAATGCTGTTGCATTTATCCTGTTTTATTTTACAAATTTGTTACCACTACTATCTGGTTGTAAGTTTTTAAATCATTTTACTTAACTTTGAGAAAGATGTAAACATGTACATTTTTGGTTGTTGTTGTTGATGGTATTGCAGACTGAACCTGCAGCCTTACCCACACTGGTAAGCACTTTATTACTAGCCTGATCCCCAGCTCTCTTTTTACTTTCACTCTGAGAAAGAGTCACATCAATTTGACTAGACTGGTTTGGAGTTTACTCAGTATCCCGAGCTGGTCTGAAGCTTGCCATCCTCCTGCCTCGGCCTGGCTTGTAACAGGATCACAGGACTGTACCCTTAGGCTCAATTAACATGATGCAGCCACTGAGCTGTACAGTGATCCCTTCTGATTTTAATTCTTATAAATAAAACTAATGAGCACTCTTGTATGTACATCTTGATGGGCATCTCTGACATCATTAGTTCCTGATGAAAGTCCTAGTGAATGCCCTAGAACTTCCTGTATATTGCTTTCCAGGAGCTACACCAGCATATCTTGTTCCATAATTGTTCACAGGGCAGCACGGGATGTTAATTTGAAATACAGGTTTTTTTTTTCTGGTTTAATAGACAGAAACATTTGAAATCTTTTTTGGTGCCCATGCGTGTGTGTGTGTGTGTGTGTGTGTGTGTGTGTGTGTGTGTGTGTGTGTGTGTGTGTGTGTGTGTATGTGCGCATATGTGTGCACGAGTGCATGCTTGCATGTGGAGGCCCAGGGTTGATACAGAGTGTCTTTATGAGTGCTCTCCACCTTATATATCTAGGTCCATTTTCTTCCTGTACCAGGAGCTTGTGGTTTGGACCAGTCTGGCTTGCCAGCTTGCTCCAACTCTCCGTCCTGAGCATTGGGATTACATAAGGCCACCACACCCACTGAGTTTTTTGTGTGGGTTCTGGGGATCCCAACTCTGGTCCTCATGTGACACAAGTGCTTTTCCTTAAAAGCCAAACCCCCAACCTTGAAACCATGTTTTAATTTTCAGTTCTTTGCTATTAAGTTTGGCCTCCGCACCTCCCCCCATGGAATTGTTTTCTGGATTCTCTGTTCATCTTTGCCCAATTTGAAGTTGGGAGACTTGCTTCTCTAACTGAGTTTGTTAAGAACTCTGACTATAAAGCAATGCTATTTTATGATGTACATATTATGGCCTATTCTATTTTAATCTACATTTTAATTTTATTATGCTTTTTCAACACAAAAGTTCTTAAGTGTTCAGAAGTCATTTCTGTGAATCTCTTTCCATTCTATATGCTGAAAGAATACCTTTACATTCCATCTTTTTTTTTTTTTAAACCATTTCAATTTTCACCCTGAGTAGTTTAATGTAGCTGATGTATTTCAATACACTATGTAAGATAGAGAAATTTAAGTGTTTTCCAGCCTCTTAATGGAGTATTTTGAGGTCATCCCTCAGGGACCCTATGTCCCCCTTATTTTATTTACTAAATTACACATTAGTGCCAGTCTCTGGGCTTTGTCTTTTATCCCATTGAACCTATCTCTGTAATAGTAGCACACCATTTAAACTGCAGCTGGGTTGGGTCATTCCACTGACGCATGCTGGAAGCTCGCTGTGTGCTCAGGTGGGTGTGTGGATCATTCCGTGATGAAAAGGAAAGTGCGGGTTAGAAAGGGCAGCAGTGTACGGTGCTGGGAGCCGCTGGTTCCGGTGCTGGGAGCCACTGGTTCCAGTGCTGGGAGCCGCTGGTTTCTCTTGAGGTTTGCTTTGCTGGTCTTCTCCACTTTTTTTCTTAAGAAAAAAGAATTTTGAACTCATTCTGCCAACTTCCTCCCAGTGTTCTGCTGAGAAGCTGTTCAGTTTAGTTACATACATTAAACACAGTTTTAAACTAAGTGGTTAGTGTGGTTCTGTTTCAGGAATCTGGTCTTCTTAAACACTTGCTTTTTTAGATCTCTGTACTGTGAAGTCTTTTCTCATACAGAAACTACAGCTTTCTTCCTGCTTTGTAAAGAGACGGCCTTTGCTAGTTGTAATACCCAGATCAACGTACATGATTTTCTTCGTGAGGTTGCCTGGCAGTCTTAAACTTAATTCTTTTGAACTCAGCTATTCTCAGTCATCTCCTTGGTGAGTTGGAAAGAGGAAATTGTAGTCTTTGGATGCCCCTTAGGGGGCGCCCCCTTACTTTGGAAGAGTTGGAGTGTAAGAAGGAAAGCTGGACCACTCTGGGGTGAAAAGCTCATGGTGCTGTTGGTCTGAAGACTCAAGAAGGGAGAGCTGCCTAAGGGAGAGGGTTTGGGAATGGGTACAAGAAAGGAGCTTGAGTAGAAGATGTGAAGGACAAAGTTATGCATTAAGGTAATCAGGAACTATTCTGGGGGATAAAAGTGAGAACTATTTTTTACTGCTTTTATCTTTTTAGGAACAAAGTATGCACTTATATAGACACATGGTTACAATCCTTATTAGAGCCCTGAGGAGCAAGTTTCTCCTGTAAATATATTTATGACTGAAACACACTTTTCAGACTATCACTTTTCAAACAGTGTTGTTCCAGAACCCTCTACAGGCTGCTGCTGGCCTGCTTTCTGTGTGTGAAGGGAAGAAGCTAAGAGCACTACTTAGATTGTAGTAGGAATTTGACATCGATTTACCTCATTTTACTTACAGATTCCAAAAGTACAGTTGTATAGTTTTTAAAAGTGCTGGTCCACGGATGCATGGGAAACTTGACGAGTTTCCTGTGTTGGTCTTGCAGGTATCCACAGCTGTTGTGTGCTCACAGTTGAGGCAGCCGTCCGTGTTCAGGAGGCACTGTTTCATAGCACTCTTCCCCATCCTTTGCTTTCAGAATCTTCCCCGCCTGTCTGTGATGTTCCTGGTCCTTGGTGGTAGTGCGGTTAACACAGGTGTCCCATTCGGGGCTGACATCATCTCTCATTCCCAGCCCTGTGACCAGCTATGCATCTCTTCATTGATGCACATTTAAGCATAGATGTGGTAGATGATCTCTAGGCTCTCCCCCTTAGTGAGGAGCAGTGAGCGGTTGCTGAGGGAAGGAGAATCGTTCTTTTTTAGGAGGTGGCCGCTGGTACGTTTCCTATGCTCCGGGGGTGTCCCCACATCCATGTACAGATAGGCAGCACTAACTGGACTTAGTTGGTTATCAGAGAAAAGACACAAAGTTGGGAGTGGTGTGTTGGAACATGGGAGAAATTAGAGAGGGAAATGGGGGTAGTATGACCTCACTAAATTGTTTTTATTTATGAAATTCTCAAAATTAAGTTTTCAGAAGTTCTTTCATGTTTAGGAAAGTCAAGGTGTTCTTTGTTTGAACTGAACATTTGCATCTTGCTTGTAGGGTGTAGCTGGGAATCCTATGGTGAAATCTGTGCTTGACAAGACCAAGCATTCGGTGGAGAGCATGATTACGACCCTGGACCCCGGCATGGCTCCATATATCAGTATGTGTATAAGTGAGCCTAGTGTGGGCCACGTTTCTAGAGTGTTCATCAGTGTCGTGCACAATTGTAGTTTCCGTTCATTTCAGATGGTCATGTAATTGATAGGAATTCCTCCTGTGCTCTCAACTCAAATTCACCCTCAGTCTGCGTGTTGGTGTAACAAATTTATCTTTTTCTTAGTCATCATTATGTAAGTTTGAGGACTTCATAGTATGAACTTTGGAAGTAGGAAGGAATAATTTGATAGTAATTTTTATATCTTTTTAGTGTTTTATATTGATTTTTCTTTATTCATTTTTAGCTTTCAAGTGGTACTTTGCTTATACTTGCTTTGGCAATTTTTCTAGTTATCTATTTTAATCAAATGTGTTTATGCTTAATCAGGAATAATGTTTTTGGAGGAAGCTAATTTAGCACTTAATAAAACTTGATTACTAAGTGTGCTGGGAATATTGTTTTAGCTGCTTTTGAGCTCTCATTAGATAGCCTCAGACGGTTGACATAGGCATACTGCTCTTTAATTTTTATGTACATTTCCAGTATACGAACAAATAGGGACTAGCTAGGCCAGCACTCCGTCAGTAATCCTGTAGAAACTCTTGGCAAGCTGGAGCTGTGCATTAGATACTGGAACAGAAGATTTTAGTGACAGTGAAAAGCCAAGAGCTTGTCTCGACTCCATTGGTGATTTCCTGTCTAATATGTGCGCATTGGTAAGACCCTTAGAGATTAAGTACAGTTTCCAAGTTCTTGTTCTGCTAGACACTGATGCTGAGAAGAACTCTGTGACACATGTATTTTCATTCAGTTTGGGGTAAGGAACCTGGGTTTGGAGAGGTGTAAGTTACTATATGGGGTCATGCAACTTGATGGGCGCTCAGATGAATTTACCTATGCATGTACCATTCATCTATATCTATATATGTCTCCTTTGCTTCCTGTGTAATAGAAGTTGAATCAGGAGTTAAATCAGGTAGCCATGTGTAGTTACACATGCCTATAATTCCAGCACTTGGGAAGTGGGATGTGGGAGGCTAGCCTCAGCCACATAGTGTATTCATGGTCTCAAAAATCAACAAAATATAAACAAACACAAAACCCCAAAGAATTCTTCCTGTTTGTAGCCATCCAAAGGATTCATAAATTTGATTTTACTGCATATGTTTATTTTTATATTCATATATCTACACCAATCTAGTTGGAAATACTAAATTATGTAATTCTTCTCGTGTATGTATTTGAATGAAGGAATGAACATTTTTGGAGCTCTTGCTGTTCCTTTGGGCATACCAAATTAGAAGTCAGTACTTAGAGCAAGGCCATAGAGGTGGCAGGTATTTTTCTACAAAGAAGCCAGCCCTGTGTCTTCCTCAGGGTGATGAAGCTGGTGAATGAGAAGGCGTAGGATTCAGCCTTCGACTTCTCCTCCTCCTGGTACCCTCTCCTACAGTTGGTTGTAGCAGGCTGTGCTTCAGACAGCGCTAATGTGCTCTGGAGCTTTCATAGACTCCCAAGGGACTGTGCTCTAGTTACCACAGGCGACTCAGAGCCAGTCCGAGGTGTTTGCTAGCCTCAGCTCGTCAGACTGCAGATGATGTGCTGAGTCCCCATCCTTAAAACACAAGGGAAGTTGGGAGTTCGGTTGTAAGCACATGTTGGAATAGCGTGCTCTGAGGTTAGAGGGTGGTAAATGGGTGTGGTTGTATCAGATGGTGTGATAAAGAGAGGATTTGTGTCTGACCTGGGTTTGAGTCCTGACAGTAGTGATAGGCAGCTGTGTCATGGTGGGTAAGGGTCTGCCAGCCTAGCTCACATGTATGAGGCTGCTAACAATTAGTAAATACAGTATAAGCCTATGGTGGACTGTCTAGAAAGTTACTACTTAAATTTGGAATTGAGATTTCTTTTGGTTTCTGTAGAATCTGGAGGTGAACTGGATATTGTTGTAACCTCAAATAAAGAAGTGAAGGTGGCTGCTGTCCGTGATGCCTTCCAGGAGGTCTTTGGCTTAGCTGTGGTTGTGGGGGAAGCTGGACAGTCCAATATCGCCCCACAGCCAGTAGGCTATGCGGCTGGATTAAAGGTGAGGAATAAAAGCTTTTCCGGAGGATGGGACCTGCAGTTCATTGCCCACGATTGTGGTAACAATCCTATGCTCTGTGTGGAACTCCTGCGTATTTATATACTGAAATACCAGCTTTGTCATTTGTCAGCCAACACTGTAATGTTTTGAAGATATAAAGGAGTTTTAATTGAATGAAATCTCCATTAGGTTTTGATTATTGGAGGAGGATGACAGTGGCATTAAGAAAGAACAAAAAGAATAGATGATCTTGAAAGGAATCTTTATAACATAGTATTGATTTTCAAGTCAGTTACTGAAATTATACTATCTGTTGGGTCCCAGTGTACACACACACACACACACACACACACACACACACACACACACACACACACAGAACTCTGATACATTGTTACAAGGACACAATCATGCCAAAACAAGTGAAGTTGATGGCATCCAAACATTTCCTATCCTAAAGCAAGGGTAGGGAAGTTCTAGCAAATTCTATGTCCTCACTTCCCCTGTGTCGTTCTATGTCCTCACTTCCCCTGTGTTCTATGTCCTCACTTCCCCTGTGTTGTTCTATGTCCTCACTTCCCCTGTGTCGTTCTATGTCCTCACTTCCCCTGTGTTCTATGTCCTCACTTCCCCTGTGTTCTATGTCCTCACTTCCCCTGTGTTGTTCTATGTCCTCACTTCCCCTGTGTTGTTCTATGTCCTCACTTCCCCTGTGTTCTATGTCCTCACTTCCCTTGTGTTCTATGACCTCACTTCCCCTGTGTTCTATGTCCTCACTTCCCCTGTGTTCTATGTCCTCACTTCCCCTGTGTTCTATGACCTCACTTCCCCTGTGTTCTATGTCCTCACTTCCCCTGTGTTCTATGACCTCACTTCCCCTGTGTTGTTGTTCTATGTCCTCACTTCCCCTGTGTTCTATGACCTCACTTCCCCTGTGTCCTATGACCTCACTTCCCCTGTGTTCTATGTCCTCACTTCCCCTGTGTTCTATGTCCTCACTTCCCCTGTGTTCTATGACCTCACTTCCCCTGTGTTCTATGTCCTCACTTCCCCTGTGTTTTATGTCCTCACTTCCCCTGTGTTCTATGACCTCACTTCCCCTGTGTCCTATGACCTCACTTCCCCTGTGTTCTGTGTCCTCACTTCCCCTGTGTTCTATGTCCTCACTTCCCCTGTGTTCTATGACCTCACTTCCCCTATGTTGTTCTATTTTCTCACTTCCCCTGTGTTGTTGTTCTATGTCCTCACTTCCCCTGTGTTGTTCTGTGTCCTCACTTCCCCTGTGTTCTATGACCTCACTTCCCCTGTGTTCTATGTCCTCACTTCCCCTGTGTTCTATGTCCTCACTTCCCCTGTGTTCTATGACCTCACTTCCCCTGTGTTCTATGTCCTCACTTCCCCTGTGTTGTTCTATGACCTCACTTCCCCTGTGTTCTATGTCCTCACTTCCCCTGTGTTCTATGTCCTCACTTCCCCTGTCGTTCTATGTCCTCACTTCCCCTGTGTTCTATGACCTCACTTCCCCTGTGTTGTTCTATGACCTCACTTCCCCTGTGTTCTGTGACCTCACTTCCCCTGTGTTCTATGACCTCACTTCCCCTGTGTTGTTCTATGACCTCACTTCCCCTGTGTTGTTCTATGACCTCACTTCCCCTGTGTTCTGTGACCTCACTTCCCCTGTGTTCTATGACCTCACTTCCCCTGTGTTCTATGTCCTCACTTCCCCTGTGTTCTATGTCCTCACTTCCCCTGTGTTCTATGTCCTCACTTCCCCTGTGTTCTATGTCCTCACTTCCCCTGTGTTCTATGACCTCACTTCCCCTGTGTCATTCTACCATGCTTGCTTCCTTGTGCAGTAAAACTCCTGTAAGAATTCTGAGTATTTTTGTCTAATTTTCTGTGCTTTTCCAACTGCCTAGCCACACTTCTGCATTTCCCTGTCCTAATAAGAGTGCACTCAAGCCACCAGTAATGGCTTGCCATTTATTTGGTTGATCAGGGGCTTTCCAGGCAGGTGCTTATCCTCTCTGTTGTTTAGAGTTTGGGATAGCCAGGCTGCCTCAGACTTACTCTGGAGCCAACACTGGCCTTGAACTCCTGATCCTGCTTCCACCTGCAGAGTTGTGGGATTATAGATGTGCAGCACCAGGCCTGACTTTCCTTTAGTCTGTTTTTCACTCCTGTGTCTTTTGTCCGAGCTCATCTGTTGCTCTCTGACTGCTTTGTGCTTCCGGTGCTGGTCCCTCCTTTTCTCCCCTGCTTCCTCTTGGTCTCTGTCTCCATGCATCCTTTGCTGACCTCACGTCGGCCCTGGCCTTCGCCTGCCTCTTATGCGGACACTGAGCTTCCTATTGCCACTAAGACTGCTCGTGAATTCTTAGTTTATGTAAGAGTTGCCTTTTTGACACCTGAACGTGACTGTCCCAAGCTCAGCGTGTCTAGAAGGAAACCTTTCTTTCTCTTACAGTCAGTCCTACCTCATCCCAGTGGGCGGCAGGCAGTCCTGCCTTCCACTTCTTCAGATGAGAAAAGGACACCAGCTGCAGCCTCCTCTTGTCTCTATTCCATCACTCTGTCTTGTTTGCAAGACACACATGTGCTGAGGTTTTTCCTGTGAGGTTGCCACACACCATATTAGTGAGTCTGGTACTCTTGCTACCAAGGGGAAAAGGATTAGGTCCCTGTAGGCTTCTGGCCACAGTGTTTTTTTGCCAGACTGTCAACGTAGAAGTTTTTTTTAATGTTTGATTCTGTTCAGATACAGCTTTACATTTGTAAATAGATATTGGTATGTATATCTATTATAGTAAAGTCATAGCTAGCAGTCCTGCAACTCCTGATTGGATGCAGTTTGTTTAGCACACACATTTCCCTCTTTAAGTATTTCAGAGCCCTCCTGTGCTTAGCAGCCTCAGAGAGCACTTCAGCATTATCCTTGGGACCCTTGGAAAAGGTGGCAACCTTTAACAGCACAAATGCAAAAGGTGGCACCACATACAGCAGCAGCTACTCGTTACAACGTGTGAGTTTAAACAAGAAGGTAGTGGCATTTGTGTAACTCGGCTGGAGATGTGCAGGACAGACATCTAATTATTTTGTAGTTTTGTGCACAGCTAATGTCGCAGTTACCAATAAATTTTAGTAAATAGCTGAATTCACCAGTATAGATTCTAGAATTATTGAGGATCAACTATATTTACATTTAAAAACTTTGTAAAGAAGCATGTAATGTTTCCTTTGACTTTGACACCAGGGTGCATTTAGGAAAAAGTCCTTTGTGCCATATAATAAAGCTAGTCGCTGTCTGTAGGGTTTGCATTCGGTCTAATCTAGAAATGAAACTGGTGAATTGGAAAAATAAATATATACCCACCATACATGTAAACCTTAAGATACATACATACATCATATATATATGAATGAATTTTGTTTGAAAGGTGGGGACAAATCTCTCGCCTGGAATGAGTCTCTGCTTGTCAAGGTTTCAAGATTGGCTTTAACATTGTTTGGTGTTTCACATGGCAAGTTCTTATTGAATACTTGTTTGTTTACACCTAATGCCGAGCCTAAGAAACATAATTGATCAAAATTAGACAGCTAGCATTCACCTGCTGTAGAATCGTATTGTCTTTCTCCTTTCCAAGCCAGCGTCTGAAGCTGTTGAGTCCAGTCTCATGGAGCTGCCACTTCTTCGTTCATTTGTCTCCTAATTGTGTTGTAAGAATTAAGTGTGTCATCATGTCATTTCAATTTATTTTTCCTGTTAGCTCTTCTATCCTTAAAATAGGCTTATTCAGCTGGGCAGTGGTGGCACACACCTTTAATCCCAGCACTCAGGAGGCAGAGGCAGGTGGATCTCTATGAGTTCGAGGCCAGCCTGGTCTACAGAGCGACATCCAGGACAGCCAGGACTGTTACACAGAGAAACCCTGTCTCGAGGGAAAAAAAATCTTATTCTTGGCTAGATTTTTTTCAGAAATAGGTCTTTGTATGTGTGTCTGAGACTATGTCTTGTTAAGTGGCCCAGGCTGGTTCCTTTGGTGCCCAGCTCTCAAGTGCTGGGATTGCAGCCCCCCCCCCCCCAATCCCCAGCCTTTGCCCTTTGAACATCTTTATCACGTCATTTGTAACCGCTGTTCATGAGATGATTCGGGTAACAGTTGGATACAGCAGCCTGCCTTCATAATCTGACTTTAGCTGCCCTGCTCCCCAATATAGACCCTTAGCTCTGAGTTATGTGCAGGTTTCTCAAACCTGTTTGGATTTATGAATGACAAATATTCTGCTGAATCAGTTTCCATATACCACATACACATGTGGCTGTTTAATTGTAGTAGTGTTCAGTGTTGCTGCATGTGTATTTAAAAGGGAATTAGAAAAACTGGAAAGACACTTGTTGAGTGTAGGTGTGGTCACAAGCCCAAAGTCAAGAGCCAGTCAAGCAAACAGATACCAGGGCTGAAAGGTTTTTATTCTGGAAGATGACCTCTTGCTAAATGAGCATTTAAAAATAAGGCTGTCTTACATGAGTAGTCAGTTATAAATTATAATTTTAAAATATCTATTTAATAACTTGCAACCAACACAATACTGCATGAAGGAATAATTTGGAAAATGTACCCTAAACTTAATACCAAGGGAATCCCATTGGATATTGTTACTGTAGACCAGTGGTTCTCAACCTTCCTAATGCTGTGACCCTTTAATACTGTTCCTCATATGTGGTGACCCCCACTTGTTTTTATTGCTCCTTCATAACTATAATTTTGCTACTGTCAAGAATCATAATGTAAGAACTGTGTTTTCCAGTGGTCTTAGGTAATCCCTGTGAAAGGGTCCTTAGACCCACAAAGGGGTCGTCACTCCTGTGTTGAGACCCACTGCTCTGTACCTTGGCATTGCTTGAATGTTTACAGTGAGTGTGTATGTTAAATATGTGCATGTGTTATGTAACTAAGAATCGGGATATTTAATATTAATACTGTTTTGAGAAACTGGTTTCCAGCCTGTTCTGCTTTTGCTCAGGGTGCCCAGGAACGCATAGACAGCCTGCGGAGAACTGGCGCCATCCACGAAAAGCAGACTGCCGTGTCGGTGGAGAACTTCATTGCTGAGCTGCTGCCCGACAAGTAAGAGATGCCGGGGGCCCTGGGAGTCAGCACAGCTGTGTCTGGAGTTCACGTGGCATGCCTAAAAAAGGTGTCTCCTGTTCTAAAGCCAGAGTGGAGTGTCTGCTCTGATGGTGGGACTTCCTGTGCTCAGCTGACACTTCACACTGTTTGTTTTGTAATGGAGCGGAGCAGAGTGATGCCTGCTTCTGAAACTGCCTACAGCCACTTGATACACTAGGACCGAATGTGCGGTACAGTGCACGTCAGCTTGGGTAGGTGGGATTGAACACCGGGAGATGTAGGCAGGAAGACCGCATGTGCTTAGCAGGCCTGGGTTACACAGCACTGTGTGACTGGCTTTAGGGGTCTCTGGAAATCACAGTTCAGCGTTGTTTTGGGGGCTCTATGTCCCTATGTTTTTAATAGATTTTTTTTTTTAAAGGAAAAACCTTTTTGGAAATGCTAAGTTATTATTATTACTTTATAATAAACAACCATGCTTTGGTGAATTCTACTTTCATTTATAATTGCATGGTGGTTTCATATTTGTCTTAATTTTTTGTTTACTTGTTGCCTATCATTTTGTAACCATAATTTGCAAAATCTGGCCTATACTGAGCTAAAAAACATCTGCCAGGGAAAGCCATCACCTAAAAGGGAAATCACCTCTAAATGTGCTTGTTGGGTAAAAGGAGTAGAACCAGATAGACGTGGTTAGTGCTCTTCAGATGTTGTCATCTGTTGATGCTAAATTGGAAAAAGTAGTCTGTTGTCGTCTTCCACATACAGAATAACACAAGGGTAAGTATTCTGTGAAGAACAGATCTAGATTTTGCTGTTAGTTTTGGATTAGTGTTAAGTGCACAAAAATGTTATAAGTGCACTTATAATGTGTTAAGCATCAACTTTTTGTGACGGTAGGTGGTCTCTTCGTGGCTTCTGAATCTAGTGTGAACCTTTTTTTGCTCCGGGAAATGTAATTGCCTTGGAACCACGGTCCATCATGTTCTTCTCACCTTGTCTTACACACAGAAAAGGAAGGTGGAGATCCCTAGTGATCAAAAGTGATCAGCTGAGATTCTCCCCACCCCCGGACCTGGTTGTGATCCTGTTGAAGGACTTTAGGAAGGAGAGGGAACTCTGAAAGTTCCCTTGCCAGGGACCAAAAGGGAAAGGCGTTGGGCACATGGAAGTGACTGCATGTTCACAGTAAAGGGATTGGGAAAGTAGGTCCCAGACTGCAGGGTCTGGTGGAGATGGTGCTCTGTAGAACAGAGGTGGACTGGAGTTCTCATGTGTGTTGATGATAGAGAGAGACTGCCATGCCTTTAGGGCAGCTTCTCAGGATGCGAAGGTGCTTGCCTCAGGTTGAGTCAGTGCAGTAAGTATCCTGTTGGACACTGTGCCCACAGCAGGCGAAATAAGGCAGAACAAGGTTTAGCTGAGCTTAGCTACACTTTCTTGAATGAGAACATTGTTAAAACAAAATACGGAATTTTGACGAGTAGTTAAGTAGAATAAATATTCTAATAAGTATTCATGAGTTAAAACATTTTCAAGATGTGAATGTTGAGACATTACAAAGTACCATTTTAATATTCTACAGAGTTGCTTATGCTGCTCTGTGTCTTATTTAGTGGTTTTTAAAAATGTAAGTGTTATGTCCTTATTCATTATGTAGTTCTTTGTGCTTGTTAAAGGTACTTATTTTTTAAAAGATGGAGACATTGAACATAGCCTTGTCCATATGCCCTTAGTACTTAAACTCATTTCAGGGTGGTTTGATATTTTGGGTAGCTAGAATTCTGATGCTGTTATCTTAAGTATGTTTATGATGTCTCGTTTTTTTATAATCTACAGTAAGTATCTTTCCATGGAAAAAGTACCTTGATTTTATGAGTGTGTTTTCAAAGGCTGACCCTAACTTGGAACATGTGATTCGAAGGGTTTATGTTCATGGGGATCAAGCACAGGGTTACTTCCTCTGAATGAGCTTATTTCTTGATTTATTAGTAACATTGTTAGATGGCTACAGGCTGGTGAGAGTTGGTATTACAAATTTCCCCGTATTTTAGCAAGTATCGTTTAAAAATATTATCCACAAGGAGCTCCTTGCGTGTTCAAATAAGTGTAATTCTTTTTTATCATCTGTGTATCTGAGTACCCCCATTCACATTATCCCCCATCTTAGCAAGAAGGAAATTTCCCATGGTCAGTGATTTCAATTTTCTTTTTTGTTACTCTCTTCCTATCTCTTCTTGGAATTAAGACAATCGTGTAATTTTATTTTTGCACTTACGGATTGTCCAAATGCAAACTAATTAGAAAAACATTTCCTTTCTGAGAGCTGTGGTATTTAATCTGAACAGTAAGTACGACTTTTCCTTTTGTCTCTTCACTCTTATTTTTTCTAGTGTGGAAACAGTGTGCTGCTCTGGTCCACTCTCATTTTATCTAGCGTGTAAACAGTGTGCTCCTGTTTGTGTTCTAGGTGGTTTGACATCGGCTGCTTGGTGGTTGAAGACCCCGTGCACGGCATCCGCCTGGAAGCCTTTACTCAAGCGACCCCAGTGCCTTTGGAGTTTGTGCAGCAGGTTGGTTTCTTTGCCGTGTCATGATGCTCCGTATTGGTCGTGAGGATTATTGCTTCTGTCTTTCCCTTTTACTGTGCTTGTCAGGTTCCTGGTTGTACCAGGGAAAATAATTTTCCTTTTTTACATTCGTGGCCCTGAAATCAGAAGAACATTGGCCTTTAACCCTGTTTCACATGTACTTTGTGTTTTCATTTCCTTTATCCACCCGTGGTTGTCTGGATGTGGGTGCAGGTGCAGAAGTGTCGCCTGTGTGGAAACCAGAGGACAGACAGCTCAGGTGCCGCTCCGCAGGAGCTGTCCACCCTACTTGGTGGTTTTTTGAGACAAGTCTCTCAAAGACCTGAAACTCACCAGTTAGGCGAGGCTGGCTGACTAGTAGTCCCAGGGATCCTCCTGTCTCCATTTCCCGTGCACTGGTATTTCAGCCATGGGCTTTCATGTTTGGCTTTTCGTCAGTGACTGCTGGGTCCTTGTCTTACACAGTAGTCATTAACCAGGTGAGCCGTGTCCCCTGCCCTGTTTATCTCATTTTTATTCCTACTATTTTATCTCTTTGCCTTCTCTTGGAGCTAATCATCTTTTTTAGTTGTCCATTTTAGTAACAAGTCAATATTTAAAAAGTTAAATAAAAGCCAGCGTAGTGGTGTACACTTCTAACCCCAGCACTTGGGAGGCAGAGGCAGGTTGATCTCTGTGAGCTTCAGGCCAGCCTGGTCTACAGAGCAAGTTCCAGGCTAGTCAGGGCTACACAGTTAAACCTTGTCTCAAAAACCCAAAATAACAAACAAAATTTAGATGAGTGCTGGAGAGGTGGCTTAGTGGTTAAGAGCACTGGCTGCTCTTCCTAAGGCCCCGCGTTCAGTTCCCACCTGGCAGCTCCCAACTGTCTGTACCTGCAGTTCCAGGGGATCTGATGCTTCTGCAGACACCAGGTGTGCATGTACAGGTGCACCAACATGCAGATGGACAGTTTCCAAACTGATTCATATATATGTATATATTTTATGTAAACGTTCTCTTAATTCTCTAATGAACAGAATGGATGCGCCTGTCATTGGGGTCTCTGTACCATGAACTGATAGTTGTTGCCCCCTCCCCTTTACCATTATTTGGAGTGTATGGACGTTTGACAATATGGGAAGAAAGTTGGTGTTCTCTGAGAAAATGTGTGTGGTTACATTTCAGTTTAATGTATGGCCATAAAGTTGCTAAGGGGGCTAGTGGTCCTTCCTTATGTTAGCAGTGTGGAAAGATGCTTGGAGTTTTGATGTTTTTCTGAAGCCTATTTATACCTAAGTTCTCTTCAGAAGGTCAAGCAAACTCTCCTATTGCTCTCATGTGTGGAGGCTTTAAGCTGATGCTGTGCATGTTGTTATGCTAATAAAACTTAAAATGGACATAATGTGACAGGTTCTGGGAAGATAGAAGTTTTACCACTGTTGATTCAGAAGTATTAGATTGAGAATTGCTGTCTTTAATAGTCGAGGAGTCTGCGCTGTTTCATGTGACTTAGCCTAATCGCTTCCATTAGCCTACAGGGAAAGAGCGCCACCCGGCAGTACGTCACTGACTAATGTCTTGAGCTAGATCTGCAACACACTGCAGCTGGTTCTCGCTGCTCACACTGGCAGTGAGACACCAGAACTCTGTGCAGCCCCTTCCGTGAGGCCTCACCCACACTGCTCAGAGCAGGTATCGGAATCACTGGTAACCCCACCAAGCCCAGAACACCCCAGAGCACTGTGTCCTGAAGAAAAAGCTGAGGATGGGCTCACAAAGCAGCTATGTAGTTACATGAATGCTAAAGAAGAAGGGTTTCCTCAGAGTTAAGGGACTTGCGGAAGTAACAAGCTTGCAGTTGAGCAGTCCTGGCTCATCAGGATTAGAAGTCTCTGTGTGTGCTGGGAAGTCAAAGCCCATCTCCAGCCTGCTGATACAGCAGCAGGAGGACTGTCACCGCGTTGTAGATGCTGAGGTAGATGTGGGGTCAGCACACAGTCACCCCAGGGCTGGCTCTGGCCTATTGCCTGTTTTTATGTCTATCTTGCATGGACCTGCCGATCTACTTATAGACTGTTTAGATGTAGTTGCTTTTGTACCAAAAGGACAAAATGGAGGAGTTGTGGTGAAGACTGACTTCAAAACCTAAAATCTTTACTGTTCGGCCTGTTTCAAAAGAGGTTTGTTGGCCCCATGCTGAATTTTGACCATTGTTCATTATAATTTAGTGTGAGGACTAATTAGTTGGACATGCTGCTCTAACAGTGAAGTAGGCCCACATGTCCGCATGCATCTATAGCACTAACATACTGCAGGTGTCAGAGAGCACGTGGTTAGTGTGGGTCCTTACTAACAGGGATTCATATGCTTTAGAACACGTGCAGACGAGTCGGGAGGCCTGGGGAGGTGCACAGCAAGCCACGGAGTTTGCCTGTTCTGTTTAATTTTTTGTTGTGTGGTTTCAGAATTCCCAAGATAAACAGTTAATGTGCATTGAAATATCTTTTGTTTCTAGCTGTTCACATTTCTCTCTCTTTTTTTTTCAACATAATATTTTTATTGATTATTTGGGAATTTCACACAATGCACTCTGATCACACTTACTTCCCATCCTCTCAGGTCCACCCTCCCACTCTGCCCCCCCCCCCCCAAAAAAAAAAGAAAAAATATACCAAGTCCAACTTGTGTTGCTCATATGCTCACTGGAGCATGGTCAAACTTCTAGTGGCCAGCTCCTTAAAGAAAACTGAGTCTACCCTCACCCCCACCAGAAACCATCAGCATCCCTATCACAATTTTTTTAAGAGTTCTCTGCCATGCTTCCTGATCTGTCCTGAAATGTCTTACATCTGTGCCTTGTCACAGTTTAGTAATTTAAGGGTTTAGAAAGCATTTCTTCAGTAAACTGTCCTTGTCAGTATGTGTCCTAGCAAAAATCTGTTAAAAGACTTTAATATAACTTATGCTTCTTTCCCATCCCCACTAAAACCTGGCTGCTCCAAAGTTTTGCTTAACAGTATCAGGTCACTCAGAAGTATGATCTTTGACCCAGCGTCACAGTTATCACATACACATTTGATTTAACAAACAAATAAATAAAAAGCTTCTCAACCCCCTGTGCTGAGCTACTGAGTCAGGACCTATCTTATAGCAAGACCCCCAGGAACTTCTGTGGTGTGTGAGGAGCAGGGTCCCGGGGACTTGTGTGGTGTGTGAGGAGCAGGCTCCCAGGGACTTGTGTGGTGTGTGAGGAGCAGGCTCCCGGGGTCTTTGAAGACCGGATGGCTCTCTTTGATGCCCACTTCAGTGCTGGTCATGCAGAGTGCTACACTGTGTCTTTCAGGATTGCTGGGAAGCTGTTTGATGTAACTCTTGATTATTTGTCTTGGAATGGGCTGTAGTGTTTCTAATTTAGTTGTCCTAGGAAATTTTTTTTTTTGGTTTTTGAGACAGGGTTTCTCTGTGTAGCTTTGCGCCTTTCCTGGAACTCACTTGGTAGTCCAGGCTGGCCTTGAACTCACAGAGATCCGCCTGTCTCTGCCTCCCGAGTGCTGGGATTAAAGGCGTGCACCACCACCGCCCGGCTTTTTTTTTTTTTTTTTTTTTTGAAAGAAAGCCCCTTGGGTGATTGTGAAGCAACTAGTTGGGCATCTGTGCACAGTGCAGATCCATTCTGCATGCAGATATTCTCTGGATTGTGCTAGCACTCTAAACAAAACTCTGGCTGTTGAATCCTTGGATCTATTTGCCTTTCACTCCTTTGTGTGAGCAAGTGATTTTCAGAGAAGCGGGTACAGGCTGGGTTAGGCTGGGTTAGGGTGGTGATTGACGGCGCTGCAGGGTGCTGGCCTGGCCTGGCCTGGGTGCTGCTTGAGAGCTACAACCGACTCACATCAGTCATGTTTGCAGACACTTCCTACAAACTAATAAATCCTTTCTTAAATGGGATAAAGACTCAATATACAGTCTCTCTCTGCTTGGAGTTTTGTGACTATAAGAATATCATCTTAGTAGAAACCTCTTATTAACATGAAGTGACCCTGGACGTAGAACTAGAATTTAAGGCCTCAGAGTGAGTCGTGAGCAGGTGGAGTTCTTTCAAGACTTGAACGTGCACTCAGCCCTGTATTTCAGCCTCAGCACCACTGAAAATGTGAATTACAAGGAGACCAGATTGTATTTGAACAGTGCGTGTGGTGGGCTGTTATTAACACAATAGGTGTGTACTGTGTGGTTTGGTTCCTTTGACCCTTGTAACTTTATACAGTTGGTGGCAGCCGAGCTGAGTTTTGAGGGTTTGTCATACTCTATATTAAAATGAGCTGAGTCAAGATGTTGAGGTGTCATTTCTAACACAGCGAGTTTCAGTGCTGTTTCAATGTGACAAGTAACTCACTTTCCTTTTTCCATAGGCACAAAGCCTGACTCCCCAGGACTACAATCTGAGGTGGTCAGGCCTTTTGGTGACAGTGGGTGAAGTCCTGGAAAAGAGCTTGCTAAACGTTAGCCGGACTGATTGGCACCTTGCTTTCACGGGTATGTCTCGCCGACAGATGATCTACAGCGCGGCCAAGGCTGTGGCAGGCATGTACAAGCAGCGCCTGCCACCCAGGCCCATGTGAGACCAGCTGCTGGGAAATGGAGACCTGCCGTCACCTTGGGCTCTGTGTTAGAGGAGACTGGATAGCTTCCGTGAATCCAACACATTTTACAACTTTCCTGTAGGCTGCAGTCCTTTCAAAAGAAAAAAAATGTTTTTAAATAAAGGCACAGTGTCATTCCAGTAAAACAAAAGAAGTAGATCCTCTCTTTACTGTCATGATTCATACATCCTAGTTCTCAAAAAATACACACACATCTTTACAGCACAATTCATATACCAAATCTATAAAGTGGAAATCCATGCTCACAGATTGGATGATTGTTCTTGGCTCATCATTCTTAAGAATATGTAATGAGGTCTGCCTGTGTTATCTGTGTGCGCACATGCTCAACAATGGATCTTACATGATGCTGGGGGCAGGGTGTGTGTGTGCACAGCTCCATGTGTTTTATAGAATATGGGCCAAATTAACAGAATGGATATTTTTTGTCATGTACATGCATAGTCTGGAAGTTATATACTTGTTTCTTTTTTGTTTTAAATTTTGGCATTTTATAGATTTATACTATGAACATCAGAAAATAACATTTTATTTTTCTTCATTGCTATGTGAAAACTAAATGGCAGATCATCCAAGTACATTTTAGATCGGAAATGTATTCGTGTTGTTTTTTTACTTTGTTTTTGTGATTTTGTATATTGGTGTTTTTGCTTGTGTGTATGTCTATGCACAATGTATGTACAGTACCCAAGGAGGCCAGAAGGGCATCAGACCCCTGAAACTGGAGTCTCAGGTGGTTGTGAGCAACTATGTGGGTGCTGGGAATCGAACCTGGCTCCCTCTAGAAGAGCAGTCAATGTTCTTAACCACTGAACCATCTCTGCATCCTCCTTGTGTTATTTTTGCACAATGGTGTTAGCACTTCCACAAATCAGCTCTCACGACAGCGGTTCCTCCTGCATCCATTCACATCCTCCACACGGTAAGAGGGCATCCTCTTCTTTGGGGATGGTCTGTGTTTTCTTTAATTAAGGTTACTTTATTAATGTTGTTATTATTATTTGAGAAGTTCATTCAGTGTGTTCTAATAACACTCCCCTCCACCCTTCCCCTAACTCTTCCTTTCCCACTACATGCTCTCAGTTCTTGTCCTCTTTTTTTTTGACATCCACCAAGTCTAGTTTGTACTGCCCAAATAAGTGTGAGGCTAACAACCAGTTGACCTACAAAGAACTACACCCTTGAAAACTGACTGTTCCTCAGAATCCATCCACTGCCAATAGCTCCCCAGTTTTCGGGGTTTGCGGGGAGGACAGTCATGAGCTCAGCCATGCTGGGATGTGGACTGGCTGGGCCTTGTAGGTTTAAGGTTGTTTCCTGGTTTGCCTTAAGTACAGTTTAACTTTTCTAACTGTGCCCTTCTGCCTTTATTTCTTATGGATGTTTCCAAAGGAATGATTTTATATCCAATGTAGTTTATTTAATCCATTGCATTTAGTGAATGTTTTTTCCTCCCTGAAATAATATATTTTACCATTTGGGGTTTACATAAGTCAAAATTAAGTAAAGTTTTTCTTACACAGTTGAACTCTATTTGTGAAGTGTGCTGTGCCCTAATGCTTTTTAGTAGTTATGTTGTTTCTGCTACTTTTACAGAAGAAGGAGAATTGCTACTTTTGAGGTGCATCTTGATTAATCTCCAAGCACTGTGTGTGTTGCTTAGTTAGACAGGAAGGAAGTAGTGTTGTGCCTGTGATTATGTACCTGGCCCGGGGTAACTCAGCCACAGTACTACTTCCCATTGCTTCTTCATGCATAAGAAGCAAGGGCCTGCTGGGTGGCGGTGGCGCATGCCTTTAATCCCAGCACTTGGGAGGCAGAGCCAGGAGGATCTCTGTGAGTTCAAGGCCAGCCTGGTCTACAGAGCGAGATCCAGGACAGGCACCAAAACTACACTGAGAAACTCAGTCTCGAAAAACCAAAAAAAAAAAAAGAAGCAAAGGCCTTTCTCTACCACTTGCTTCTATGCTGTTTTTAAAAGCTGTCCTTTAGGTCTGGGGATGTAGCTCTGTGATGGAACACTAGCTAATGTCAGGCCCTCGGGTCAGTCCCCAGAACACACCTGCGCACACGCACACACGCGCACACACACACACACACACACACACACACACACACACGGTGGTGGGGGGACTGTCCTTGTCTAACAGTATTTGATGGGGTGTTGCCTGGATGATAGTGTTTTATTATACTTCAAAGGCAAGTAAATTTCACAGATCCTGAAGGTACCCTATTTTTCCCTTCACTGTTTTATTGAGTCTGCATTGTCTTAGTTACTGTTTCAGAGGGTCAATCCAGTAGAATCACAGGATGTCACTGACATCTCATTGGGTATTGTTTTTCTTGAGTTCTAAATAACAGTGGCAGACTTATGCCATGGCTTAATAACTGAGTAATTAACTGGATAATTGTTCCTTAGTCTGCCTTCTGAGAGGAGGAGGGAAGGGCGGAGGATGGAAGAGAGAACTGTGTGATCCAGTCTGATTTCTCTGTAGACAGTTTGGTCTGGCCCAGAATTCTCTGTGGAGGATGTCAGAGCCGGGCTGGCTCCACCGGCTCATCTTCCCTAACCGTGGTCCTCCTGGGATTCCGTGCTCAGTCTGTGTGGGCCTGGACAGTGCACAGCCGCGGTGCCTTCCCAGCCCTTCTGTCCCTGCGTCCTTTCTCTTCCTGCCTGTGTCTGTGTAAGTTCCACACTGACAGTTTTAGGGAGTTGGTGGGCGGCTGTTGCATTTTTTAAACCTTTTAGGAAAAAAAATCACCATTGTTATGGGGGTGGCTTTTGTGGTTTTTTTCGTACCGATTATTGAATTTTTACTTTTATCAGTAGGAAAATAAAGCAGGAAAAGTAATTGAACATCAGCCTCACGAGATTGCTCAACTATTTAGTTCCAAGGTCGTCCTCTTCAGTTTTTGTTGTTTTTCTTGTTTTGCTCTGGCTTGGTTTATTTGTAACAATCCTGGGTGTGGAGCTCAGAGCCCCATTTACTCTAGGCAAGGGCTCTACTGAAGAGCCCCAGCCCCAGCCCCAGGTCCCTACTCAGTTTTTGAGACAACTCTGGACTGAAGCTCTCCCATGGGCTTCTGAGCTTGGAAAAGTTTAAGAAGCTGGGAGTTCTCTACTGATTCCCTTGCCATTAATTCTCATTCTTCCTCCCTCGGTCTTCCGAGATAAGATACTGCCGTCTTAAATGTAGGTAAATAAGAAAAATGAAAGCACACGATGTACATCTATTCTGAATTATGCAAATTAGCAGTTACTCAGGGTCAACTAAATTACTTCAGCCTGCCCTTTAGTTTACTCTTGCTATTTGGCAAAAAGAAGAAAAAAAAAATAAGGACTGTGTGATTTGTGAAGCCAAATTGATAATCTGTTGTAAAAGTTGTTGAGTTAAACATAAATTATTACGAAGTGTAGATTTTTCCTAGGATATTGTATTCATTTTGTGATATTATGTAGAGTGATGTATTAGATGAAATCAATTTTGTAAGTATGTAAATATGTCATAAATAAATACTTTGACTTATTTCTCAAAAGTGCAGTGACTTAAATGCTACCTTGTATTAATATATCAGATGGTTGCTTACTCCTTTTTGGCTCTAAATTGGTGACCAACTTCCACAAATTATTAGACTTCAAGCACCTTCTTTCTAGAGAATTTTAACATTCAGGTGCACCAGCTTCCAACATGAAGGCCTGAGAACTCAGAGCGAAGCCCCATTGGAGATACAGGTAATGGTGGGACGTCAAGGGCTCATGAAGAGAGCTCTGATGCCTGGGTATGACTTCTTTTTGCCCTCTATACCTCTCCTTTTTATTTATTTATTTATTTGTTTGTTTGTTTGTTTTGGAGTAGTTTTTGGAGCAACGATATTAATTGGGGAGAAAGGTACAAGGTTTTGAATTTTACTCATCTCCACAAGTATTCACCCTTACCCATAGTCAGCATCTACTGCCATAGTAATCCATAGCAGTTCATGAAGGGCACTGACATAGTGTCACCACCCATGATTTACATTTAGACTCACTGGGTTAGGTAAATGGGTATGACAATATTAGTACAGTATTGCCACTGCTCTGGAAATCCAGTGCTTTGCCTCTTCATCCCCAGCTCTCCACCCACTCGCAAGTGTGACTTACTGTCTCCTGAGCATTTCTTTTGCTGCGATATCATAGTTGAAATCTGTGACGCTCTGGATTGGCTGCTGCTGTGAGTAATACTCATTTAACATTACCTGCATGCATTTTCATGGTTTGTTTTCTCATTTCTCTTTAGCTCTGAAAAATAATACTCTCTGGATGTACCAAAGAATGCAAAGAATGCTCTTCCACTTATCTACCACAGGGTACCTCAGTTGTCTGAGTTTGGGCAGCTATGAGTAAAGTTGCTGTCGGTGCCTTCAGGTTTTGTATGGACTGTTTTCAAGTCTTGTTATGGTAACAGTTACGGTTAGTTTGGGAAGACCTCTCACCTTCTTTCTGTTGAAGACCTTTGTCTTTAGTGGATTTGCTACTGTGGACTGGCATCTCCAGCAGCACATTTCTGTTTTGTGTAGACCAGGTGGGGCTAGGAAAGCTGGATCGGAGGAGACCAGTGGGGAATCTTGCCAGAAGACCGTAGACATATTGATTGGGCTTTGTGGTTGTTGCCAAGGGTCAACACTATTATTTTTAATAGACAAGAAGACAAGAACAAGCCATATTGAATTTATACTCAATTTCAGAAGTAAGGGGTGGGAAAAGGAAATTGAGATCAGAAGTGAGACTGGTAAGACGAAGCATCAAGGAAGTTAGAACTGTAGATGAGGGAAATTGTAAATGAGCTTTCAAGTGCGCTCACTTTAGGATTGCAGTGTTTCTGTGAAACCTAAAACAAACTGCTAGAAGAAGACAGGCAGTGCCCCACAGGAAATTTACTGTAAAATACTTCTTGATGTCACTGGAAGAGCATCCAGTTTTGAACTCAAAAGTGATGCTCCAATGTAAATTAATTTGTGGTTTCTCAGACTGCAGAATACCCATATTTAAGGATAAGGCTCTATTCTGGACGACAACACCTGTGTAACTCATTGAACATGGAGGAGTTGGTCTAGTACCTACCTAGAGCCTCCACCTCTACTGAATAGTATCCATCCATGGTATTGGAAAGGTGTGCTGCACACTACCAAAGGAAAACAGCAAGCCTCTACCTAGCTACAAACCCTTTAATATACAATGGTGACTTGCCTGTATGATATGCAGGTGTAAAAGTTATGGGAGTAACCAACCACTATCTGAGTGGATATGGCCCACTCCATGAGATGGAACCCATGCCCGACATGGCTTGGATGCCCAAGAACCAGAGACTAGATAGATCACGGACCTAGGAGAAAACAAAATACTAATGGAATGTAGCAGTAAAATGACTCCTAATGACACTATAATATTCATAGATCAGTGTCTTGCTCAGCCATCATCAGAGAAATTTCTTGCAGTAGATGGGAACAAATACAGAGATCCACAGCTGGACAATGTGCAGAGAGTGGGTGGCTGTTGGTGGAAGTTTCTGTCCTGCCAGCAGCTCCCAAATAAACACAGTGAGGCCTATATTAATTATAAATGCTTGGCCATTAGCTCAGTCTTGTTAATAGCTAACTCTTTCATTGAAATTAACCCATATTTCTTACCTATGCTTTGCCATGTGGCTTGTGGCTTTACTTGTCCTCCAGCATGGCTTGCTCCCTCTGTGTCTCCAGGCGACTCCACTGACTCCACCCTTTTTCCTCCCAAAATTCTCAGTTTGGCTGACCTGCCTATACTTCTGCCTGGCTATCAGCCAATCAGCTTTTTATTATCAATGAGAGCAACACATTTTCACAGTGTACAGGATTATTCCACAGCAGGAGGCCTTGGAAAACTCAGTCCTAAATGGGGTGTCTTCATCAAACCCCTTTCCTAAGAGCTCAGCTGATGGAGTCCCGGAGCTGAGAGGGGAAGTGGACATAAACTTCATCGCTAACCCTGAAGGAGCTTTCTTACTATTAACTGGTTTTGAAGTGAAGTACTGGCTACCCTTTAAAATATCTTTTGAACAACTTGTTACAGACATTTAGACAAGAAAAGGCTGCTCATCTATGCTTTCTCCCAGAGCCAAAAAGGTAAGTTCATTTTCCCTTTGTAGAACTGGCCTTCCTCAGATTCATCCCAACACCCAAAGCCAAGTGCAAAAGCCTGAAATTCTTCTAAACTTTCCCTGTTTTCGATGGTTTCTTTAATATGAAGAATTACATCACAAAAATGTTGAAGCATTTTCCCCTAATAAACACACCTAATTGGGTTTTTAATTCTTAAATTTTTGCATAGCATGAAAACCTGAAAGAGTTTTGCAGCTGAAGCATTAATTAGAAGGCTGATCATGGAAAGCACACGGGGTTAGAGTTCACACCCACATTTTTACATTTTCATAATGGTTTGCTGGCGAGCCAGGTCATTCCCCCTGTTCTTTTACTTATATTAAATGCTCTAAAAGGGCGCAAGCCATCGTCCCATCAGCTGGGACTTCACAGCCAATCTCACCTCCCCCCCCCCCCCCCCCCCCCCCCCCGCCCGCCCCATGTCCTTTTTCATCCTCAAACAGTGAATTACTCAGTCAGGCATTGCACTCTGAATCTGATGCTATGGAAGAGGGCAGTGTATGTGTCTTGTGGGTGGACTGGTTGTTGAAGTCTCTTTAAGCACAACACTTCACTTTGGCTAGATGAGATGTGTGTTGGCAGCAGGAGCTTTGGAGACAAGATGAGAAAGTGACACTTTGCTTATACACTTTTTTTTTCAGCTGACTTGGCTCTGGTGCACATTTAGCTGGGAAAAAATGATGAAATGCCCAATTAATAAACCCACAGTTCCCCATGTTTTTCACTATGGAACTGAGGCATGGTAGACATGCTTCTTTTTCTTTTTTAATTTTTTTGTTTGTTTTTCGAGACAGGGTTTCTCTGTGTAGCTTTGGAGCCTGTCCTGGAACTCACTCTGTAGACCAGGCTAGCCTCCAACTCACAGAGGTCCACCTGCCTCTGCCTCCCACGTGCTGGGATTAAAGGTGTGCGCCACCACTGCCTGGCGATAGACATGTTTCTATGAAGTAATACTTGACCACTGAAAAAGCTTCCATTAGTTAAAAAGAGAACATCAGTTTATATCAAATGCAGATGAAAATGTACAAGCGTTTAAGGGCTGTGGAGCAAAGAGCAGATCTGTTTAGTGTGAGCTCAGAGCTGAACTTTCTGAACCTTATTTTTACAGGAAGATTAAATCTTCTTTGTCATGTACATATGTATATTGTGTATCAGATGGATGGATAGATGAGTGGACAGATACAGGTATACAATTAGCTAGCTAGGTGGCCCTGCCTCTTACCAGCTGCAGCACTGGGCAGAGTGGCCCCTACACCTCACCTAGGCAACATAGCAGAGTGGGCCCTGGTGGTGTAGGTGTGAGCTAGCTGATCAGAGGGCAGGAGAGCAGGAGAGGTAGCTCTGCCCCTTGCTGCTCACTACAAAGGGTGAGCTAGTCTAGCTGGGGCAGTACTGGAGAACTCACCCTGGTGTTGAGGATGAGGGAGAGCAGGTGGGCTGACCAGCCCTGCAACTACCCAGCCCCAGAACCAGGGTTATGAGTTGGCCCACCCCAACATCCTCCCCATCTATGAACTGTTGGAGCACATGAGGAGGCCAGTCCTGCAAACCCAGAGCAGCAATCTCCACGACACAGGACAACAACAGGATATCCAAGAAGAGTCCCAGTGAGGACCCAGTATTGATGATGTAGCAAAACCCAGAGGCCTCGAACCAAACCAATGACTCATGGCAATGAACACTTGCAAGTAATAATATGGACTAAAGGGTATACTGTGTAACTCACTGTGTCATACTACAGCTTCTGTGACAAGATTTTTCTTGTCTTTTTTCTCTTTTAAATTTTGTCTTGTTTTATCCTGGGGCGGGGGAGGTTACAAGGGTAGAGGGTGTATGGGAAGGGATGAGGAGATGAGTTTGATTGAGATGCATGATATGAAATCCACAAAGAGTCAATAAAAAGCTAAATTTGGAAAAATAGCCAGCTAGAACTGTATTCAGTGGCACTATGCCATGTTTGAGGACTGCTCGTTCATACCATATTGCACGTACTCAAGAATTTTACATACAATGTCTTATTTAGTTTCACCTTACATGGGTGCTAAATGCTACCTCATTTTGTAAGCCAAAAGCCAAGACTGAGTTACTCTCTTGCCTAAAGTCACCCAACTAGGAAGAGATGGAATAAAGATTCAAACTGTCCTGTTGGGTGCTGAATCATATGCTCTTTCCAACACGTGTTTTGACTGGTGAGATGTAGATGAAATAAACCTTAAAGGTTAGATCCATATACCTCAACCTGTATGTGTGCATTTGATCCGTTACCCTGTGTGTGTGCATATGGACTGCATGCCAGGAACTCTGAGATGTATGCAAAAACCTAAGTCAGGTGTTTGCTCTGAAGCAGACTGAAGTGAGACAGG